TCGTGACAGCGATGCCCTCAGATCTCTTCGAAGCGTCCGCAGTGGCTACCCAGAGGCTGAGATTTTGGCTGAGTTCGAGGCTCTCAAGGCACAAGCGTCTATTCGCGAGGATGAGGCCAAGGTTCCGTGGATCGATATCTTCCGTGGAACAAATCTCCGTCGATCTATGTTGGCCATGTCTATCGGAAACATGCAGCAACTCTCAGGCATTGCTTTCGCCACGAATTACGCGACCATCTTCCTCGCCACAGTCAGCGGCAATGTATCTCCTTTCCTTCTCACCATGGTTGGCGCCATTCTCGCTTTCGCCGGTGCAGTCACCGGAATCTACCTCGTCGACAGAGTCGGGCGCCGCACCCTCGCTCTTGCTACCTTCACCATGGTCTTCTTTATTGATCTCGTTGTCGGAGTCCTTGGTTTCATGGACTACACAGGAAATCCTAGCATCGCCAAGGCCATTGCGAGCATGTGCATGCTCTTTTCATTCTTCTTCGCAGCTGGATTCGGCCCTCTGACTTATGTCGTCTCTGCTGAAATTCCGACTGCCCGTCTACGCAACAAGACCAGCTCTTTCTCCTTCTTGACCCTGGCTGCTTTTTCCACTGTTGTAATCTACGTGCTGCCATATATCTCTCAGCCCGATGCGTAAGTACATTTCCCTTGTTATTACCTACCCGCATGCTAACAAGATTGTCATTGCAGAGGTAATCTTGGTCCGAAGACATACCTCGTCTTTGCTGGTTGGATGGCCGGATGCATCATTATCACATACCTGTACCTTCCCGAGACCAAGGGAAGAACCCCTGCTGAGCTGGATGCCATGTTTGAAGCTCGTGTTCCTGCTCGCAAGTTCAAAGGTAAGGAGCAAACCCGTTTGTCAGTGCATTGCTAATATTTCACGATTCAGACTATCAGTGCAATCTGTCTATGGAGAGTTACATGAATGAGGAGAAGATTGATACCGAGATCGCCCACCATGAAGCTAAAGTTTAAACTGATGGAGTAGGATCTAAGTCAGCTTGACAGCAACAATGGGGAGTTAGTTGGGCATATGTGCCCAGGACATCGATATTGTTACTATACAGTAGAGTATAACCGTATTCAAAGAGTAGTTATTTAATTGCACAGCCTCTGTGTATCTCAGTTTCATGTGGTACAACATTATTCCATTCTCATTTCAAATTCACTACTAAAGTGTTGCCGTTTGGTGCTTGTGCTTGCTGCCTCTCAGAACTGCTATTCATGATCCGCACTCTGCCTAAGTGATGCAGTGATTTTTAGTTAAATTCTGTGACATCTATACGCAGACCTAAGTGTTGTGTTATTGGAATTTGATACATCTTAGATTTGACGCTTGCCTTGCATGCCTTCCCTTGCCTATGCTACTCACGCAACCGACATTCTATAACAATGACACTCAAGCCAAGATCTGCTACAGTTAGTGACCCAATCTAAGAGAGAAGGGTGCTTAAGTAGTCTATCTCGCGGGATGAAAGACCTAAGTAGCATAACGATGACATTGGCAGGTCTTAGGCTAGTTGTCCTTTCCCGTGATATCAGGTCTCGAGTTCCTCTCATTACTATAATGTCGCTGGCTGGGTTTTGTTTTCAGTTATCACTGAGCCATCCTAGATAGAAACTCATCCCAATAAAGAAAAGGCAAAGAACTCTCTCAGCAATTCTAAAACAGTCTTACATATCGTTCCCATCTCCATACCCCCCCGTCTCTGTCTATTTCTTTAACCCTCGAAACACGAAGTCTTAAGCTCCCACGCTGTACACTCAAGCAACTGACCGGACCATGGGTGTTCGCCCTTTTTTACCACAAATGGCTGGATGTTATAGCAGGTCATGCTTTCTGGGTAGACTCTTGTAGTAATTGCCGTTCTTTCATTGGCGAAAAGCTCTAGACAACTCACGTCAAAGAATGCATGGAGTCGCAAGGGCTCCTGTGACAGAAATTGCTCAGCTCCTGCAGCAGTTCCGGGAGACAAGGTCGAAAAGAGGGTATGTGGTGCCTCTTCATCCGCTACGCATACGCCTGCCATGTTGGTGGATTTAGCTCGTTTAATTTTGAGCATCTCCAAGTCAGGACTAAACGAGACAATGGTACGTAGTTCTGAATCTTGAGAAGAAATGTTAGCATCCTCTAGAAACAACGCATGATTCTAACTGGTAGTATAGTCTTACCCTTTGTATGACCTATTATGAAGCCGACACTCTGCACATCATTGCCAATATCGAAAGAGACATCAAGCTCCCAGCAGGAGCATCCTAGAAGGAATTCCAAGCTTCCCAGAACCTCAGGCAAGGTATGATATGCTATGGGGCCCATGAACCACTGACTTTGTCGAAGCTTGTTGAGTCTAGGGTCTGGCAAAGCACACACTGTCGTAACCGTATATGCCTGAGGAGAATTGGTCGGTGATAATGACTTCTGTTGCGGCTTTTCTTCTGGCACCACGTCAAACGACTTGATGGATGTGAGATCTGACTTTAATGCTTTGACAACATGTCGTATTCTGCTCAACTGGACGATTCTCGGGACCGATAACAGTCCGGCCCATCCTTGTTCCCTCTTCAGCTCTGCAGAGAGATCTTCCTCAACAATCCAGCCAAACGCAACTTGCTGGTTGGACCTTGGATCGTGGAAGGAGTTGACAGCATAAATTGCTCCATAGTCCAGAGCACCGCCAGAAAGGAACTGCATCTGCATCCCTGTTGAAGTCTGCACCAAAGGGCCCGAAACCCACATCTGGCCGTGGTCTTTTCTGAACTCTGAGTGGCAATGCCGTTCAGAAGGCTTAGTACCAAGTTGCTTACGCCCCTCAACGCCAATCATTAGCACCTCATGACTTATTGTTGGATCATCAGGGTCAGGGAGTGAAAGGAAGTTGACCACTTCCCAATTTGTACCATAATCAGGCTCCCATTGCGAAGGATGTTGCGTTAGAGGGCTTGATGTTATAGTAAGCACAGAGAGGAAGTTCCAGGCCGCCAAATCGTACTGTTCAAGAGAGTAGACAAATATTGCAGGGCCAATACCGCGAATGCCACCAGAAACGATGCCAAACAGCGATTGATCTGACCCATGTCCTAGAAGCCGGCTGAGCGAAGGCCATCTAGCAACGTATGGATCACGCCAGCCTGTAACATCTAGGTGGCGAGGAGGGCCACCCAGAACAGTCGACACATCTCTCCTTTGCCACGTACGACCAGCGTCGTCTGACGTGGCAATGCAAATTGCTTCAGAACCCCAGTTGTAGGGAAGTGTATGGTGTATCGGAAGCATCCGCGCTGAGGTATAGAATGCAGTGCTTCGGCCGGATGCTGAGGGAACTGGACTCCAACATCCTGTGAAGACCCCCTCTTCTCCATCATGCTTCTTCGACGGTCGAATAGATGGACTACCACTGATCTCCCAGGTAATCAGGTCCTTTGAAAGTGCACTTCCCCATGAAATGTCGCCCCATTCTGGTTTCTTGGGGTTCCACTGGAATCCAACGTGATAAACATCATGGGCGCCATCATAGCCTGGTGCACAAGGGTCATTTAGCCAGCCAGTTGGTGGCATAAGGTGATAACGTGATCTCCAGCGACGACGCGCATTTTCGATGTGGGTTTCTAATGCTTTGGCAGTGGCCAAGGGATCTTGGTCGTGAAGGACATCATTATGGGATGCCGTCGAAGTCGTGTTATACGGAACCTCATAGACAGCATTCTCATAGATGTGGCGTTTGGGTGGAAGCTGGACAAGGATGGGTGAGTCGAGGGTTACCATGATGGTTGCTGTTTAGTGACTGCTTTGACAATTTCACCATAGGTAATCAACAAGAGTAGGCTTGGAGATGCCGTGAAGATGCGGAGCCGCCATTAGCAGAAGAAATGAATCACATGACGGACACTGACGACGGGATTCGGCGTTTTCATTTCATCCTTGCAGACATGTCATGTTGAATATCACGGGCTTGCAAATCGGCAGTTGTAACTGATGATTCTGGCTGTTCTCATCTGGAGCGGGAATATTCCCAATTGGGCTTAAATCGGCATGTCATATTTCGCAGCAGATTTCAGCACCAGGTGACACTAGCCCGGCTTCTGCTTCGTGGGGAGACCTCTGCGTGGTTTGACTCATGGCCCAGACCTTTGTCGGACCGAGAGCTAGACATGGTTCCCCGCAGTCTTCCCCGTGCTCATAACTCGGTCGGACCAGGGGAATCCTGTGTCGGTTTTATTCCTTATCCGTCATAAAAGCCTCTTGCTGCAGATGGCCGCCCTGCGCAACGTGACAATCGCCGTGCCGGAAAAAGGAGATCCCAGCTCGACATGAATCAAGTGGTCTTTGATTCATCATTAAGTTGTGCTGTTCAAACTAGATCATGTGATCACTGTTATCATCGCAAGATCAAGGTAGGTTGTCTACTTCCTGTCTAGCTCAGTCGGTCTCGCGGCTCTGACCCTCCGATTCGCAGTGTGACCGGCGTAATCCGTGTTCGCCTTGTCAAGATAACCATGTAGAATGTCAATACGAGAGGCCTAGGAAGAAGCGCCGGTACATTCGACCGGTGTCAGATGATCCAGATGTCAACTCTAGAGTATCTTCTGAGAGGCTCAACATCTTGTATGAGGAAAGGGCAGACTGGTTGCCTGCTGATACCATTGACGTCAGCACCCCTACAGAGGCACAGCAACTGAATTCAGTGCGTGTGAACAATTCTACGAATGCGCAAATTACTACCGTTTGTCCTTTGCAGCTGGAGACAGAATACTGGAACCTTGGTATGGGGGAATGCTTCTTCTACCCAACCAACCTTTTCGGAGTGGTCGACCTTCCTCCCTACGTACCCTCACTGCCATTTAACGTACCTCAGAGTCCTGGTATATCACTCTCACCTCCACTCCAGCATCTCTCGAGTCAAAACGGAGTGCTCGATCGTTTTCTGGATGACAGCACCATCCCGCAGCTCATCGACGTTTTCCTAGAGCGCCTACAGCAGTCCATGCCCTTCTTCACCCGCTCATATCTGCATCAAAACATCGCGCGTCAACGACATCTCCAAGACCGGTCTTTCGGCTCTTTGGTGCAGGCTATTTGCTCGCTAGTCCTTCTACAGCCCGTCCAGAGCCAGGAGAAACGCTCATGGCCGAATCGTGAAGCTAGAGCCGACGCACACTTGGCCCTGGCTGTAAATTTACACTCACAGTCTGATTTAGGTCAGAGTCCGACTCTAGAAACAATCATGACGAGCGTCTTCTTGTTTGCGTGTCAGTTCTGTAAGGGCAATTTTGATGCAGCCAGATTTCGGCTCAGGGAGGCCGCTGCTCTAGCCGAGGTGATGAATCTCGATAAGCCTGAATCGTACGGCCGGATTGGAGACACAGAAAAGCAACGGAGGCTCCGCACACTAATCAGTCTTACGATCATTGAGAGAATCTACTCGGTCCAGAGAGACTACATTCCGGGCACGAAATCACTAAGCCGGAACAAGCTGCAAGAACTGCAGAATGCCATCGCATCTTCCGATGACAGGGGTGAAAGCGAGAACATCATTGCCATGGAGTGTATCAGCAACATGCTCGAGCAGGTGGACTTCATTGATCCCGATATAATAAAATGCTGGAAGGGTTTCTGCTGGGAAGAAGAGGCCCCGACACATGTCACCAGAAGCACAATACTCACTCTCCTACGAAGGTACCGGATTCCACCACGGTTTTCTGGACTTTCTGGTATCGATACCCATGCTCAGCATGCAGACATCCTTGTTACCAGGCACTGGATCAGGATCAAGCTGTGGTCTTTGGCCAATAGCCACGGCTATGTTGACGCCCTATCTGACGACGAGGAGTTCCGTCATGAGTACGCCGTGACCATTGCAAGTGAGGCTCTTGACACCTGTTCTCGGTTCCAGATGACTAGCCTCGAAGTACATGGCATTGGGCTTGTATGTATACTTGAGATTCTCTCCGATAAGAACTCAAACTGATCAAAACAACAGGTTGAGAAACTCTCTGATCTAGCAACTTGTGCAGCACAACAAGTCGACGTCTACTCGCCTGCGCAAGAGTATCCCATTCATGCAGACTTAACCAACCGTGATCCAAACGTGATGCAGCCACAGGAAGACTCTCCGACTTCAACTTCAAGTTCAGGGCCTGTGAATAATGGCACCGAGGACATGCTCAATGGCTATCTCTCGCTGTTTGCATCCTTCCGGAGAGGGAGACACCCTTTTCTTAAGCCGTATATGCGCCTCCTACTACTCAGAGATTGACGATAGCAACGGAGTTGGTTCCAGTTTGCCTCTTGGTGATCACTGTGAAACAGGGGGTGCTTGTGATAAAGGCAGGTTGAGACAGCTAACTCTCCGCTGTTAATCTAGGCTCCCTCTCCAACCTAATACAATACGTTCAGCGTCTGATGACCGACGATATCATACCTTTACGCATCTTGGCTCTATCCTAAGTCTACATGAGATTTAGGTAATTTAAGGTAGACCTTAAGCTTTTAGATTAGTTATTATAATTTAGGATGACTAAAGGTCCCCCCGCTGTGTCAGTGTCACTTGCCAGTGCGAACTTCTCCCGCATGAGGAGGGGTCGCTATGTCTCGAGACAACGTTGCTCAGCCGCGCCTCATTTTTTGTCTTCCTTCTTCGCAGCAACAGCAACAGCAACAGCAACAACAACAACAACATCTCGACTTTCATCTCAAACCCGGCTGATCGTGATGGTAATTGAATCACCCAGCAAGGTACCTAGTCTGAATCACTGACTAATGGTATAATCTACAGGCCGACTCGTCCTCCAATCTTTCCTCGCCGCCTGCGAATTCTGACCTCGCCGTTTTGGTTGACCGTATCTTCCGTGAAGTGTTCACTCAGCTCGGCGAAATCAAAACTCAGCTCGACACAATGAACGGCCGTCTTGATACTCTCGAGGCCACTGTTCGCGACCATGGCCAGCACTCGGCCCGTATTGATCGACGTCTTACTAGCGCGCGTCAGTACCTACTACGGACTTGACCATGCAACCCAGATATACTGACAAACACCTAGGACCTCTACAACAACCAATTTCCGTGCTAGACTCCTCAACAGCGGAGCTTGTGAGCCTAGTTCGGTTCTCACCCCTCTGGTCAATCCAGCGACTGGCGAGAACATCCCCGATTTCCCCCGCACCTATGGCGAGGTCCAGCGACTTCACGGTATTTATTCCTTTGTTTTCTTTGTTTTCAGGTGTCAAATCCTTCTAACATCTGAATCTTAGCTCGTGAGCTCGGTGCCCTTCTGCAAGCCCTCAACCTGCGCGGTGCTAGAAACGCTGAGCAGAAGCGAGGTGACTTCTTGCGCGAGATTGGCGCTACCCAGGTTCGGGTTACGCGCCGTTAGTGTTTTTCCCAGGTTATCGCATTCTGGAATGGAGTTTGGTGTAATCGGTTCATGAGAACAATACCCATTTGTAGTTGGCTATCAATTTTGATAGAACTAGACCCAGGGAAAAGGGAATAGACAAGCAACTGCCTTGATGAATTAGCTTTGACTTGAGTGAATGTTCCACTGGGTTCAAAAGTACGAGATGAGATGATCCCAACCTGTCGCCTAAAATTATGTAGCGTTTTAGCGAATGCTCAGGGCATCCCCCACTGCAGTCCCTCCTGGAACTAGCCACTGGGCTCCAGTGGTGCATAAATCGACGCGCCACAAGGTACAGCACAATACCCGCTGTACCAACATCAGAAGGCTTCTGTGGCCTCGAGCCCTTGTAACCACGCCCAACCTCAGCAACTATGGGTGTCTCCCGCTCCTCATTCAGAATCGCTGGACTTCACAACTATACCACCTGATTCAGAATAAGAATGTCTCACATATAAGTCAATTCACGCCAATATCAATAATCAAAAACTTTATACCACCAATTTTCAGTCTATTCAGAAGCTTCTTTGTCTATGTACCCACTTGAGTACCCCTCGGCATAACAGCGCCTATCTTGATCGTCCCGTAAGCACTACTCACTTGAGTAAGCTTGTCCCGAATGATCATCAGGGACTGAACACTTGCTTCTTTGCTCACTTGAGTGGCGCTGTATACTAAACCTGCACAGATATAGAATTCCCATATCGATCTACTCACTTGAGTACTGCTGTAAAAATGACCAGCACATTCCAACACATCTCCCAAGCCTCAACGAGCCCATACACTTGTACAGACTTCCCATCCTGACATCCAAAGTAACAAAGGGAAAGCTTCTTCCTACCTACCCATTTGGTAAGCTCGATTGATCTGTGCAGTATAAACCAGATAATCTCAGAGAAGGGGGTCTTGCGGAACAAGGTGACCGTAGCGGTCCATCCAAGTTTCACTTCCGATGAATCTCCAAGCAATGACAATACCGTATTCTTCGGAAATCTCCTTGTCAAGATTGACACCCAGGTTGCTCAGCGCAGGGTGAGTCTCGGGGACGGTCTTCTTATATTCTGCTCCGCGATAATGATCGTGCAGCTGTTCGCGAGTCATCGTGATAACCTCTATTATTGCCCCACGGGGGTGAGCTTAGTTCCGATGGAATCTCAGCCTGTTGAACCCGCCATCCTGCCTCGGTACCCGAGGGGCTCAAGGCATGTAGGGCCAGCCCTTGTGGACATGGAAACACGAGGACCTGGCAGTCTTTATACGTCCGGAGAGCCACACAAGCCACGTCGTCTTGGACTGGTAATCGGAGGTATTGTTCATGGTCAGCAACTTGCTTTTTGATCCACCTCTCATAGTGCGCATTAATAGGCTGAGCCAGCAATGGTAGGGTGGCAGAAAACACATCATCGTCCTCGGAAGATATTGCAGGGGGACTCCGATAATGGTACTTCAGCTCCTCGATAAAGGAAGCCAATATCCACTTTGCCTGAGCGATAAATATTACCGCATAGTCGTAGGGGGGACCACGAAACTCGACAGTCATCGCGTTTCCTTTTTCTAGGATAGATAGTAGCGTATTCACCTTAACGTCAGGGGGTTCATCGCGAAGTTCGTCTTTCAGGTGAGGTTTGTCAAATAGCTGCATAGCCTCAGGATCATTTCTGCCGTCTTCATCATCCTCTGCGAAGGAACAAGTCAATGCCTGAATTTCCTCACACACCTGCTGAAGCCTAGATTCATCATATCGGTCAATGTTTTCCATCACACAGCCGTAAGCAAGGCTGCTCATGCTTTTCATGATGGCCAAACAAGACCTGGCGATGATATCTGCTGGAACGTGACCTATACCCTTGGCAAGATTCTCGATAGAAATGTGGAGGCTGTCCAGCTGGTTCTGGATGAGCTGCTTCTTGAGATGCTCCATATCCTCTTCTGAAGAGTGTGGCATCGTGAATGTAGAGATATTGAACGTTTCTGTATGGTAAAGAGTTCGAAGAATGGTGATTAGAAGGTGTGTGGTGAATGTTGGTGGTTTACACTGTTGTAGATGAAGATTGATCTTCATAAGCGGTCAAGCCTCGTATTTAACGACATGGAATCAGCAATTGACTTGGCACTTGTTCGTAATTGAACTGCAATCATTGTATCCTCTTTCATTACGGAAATTCGGAGTTTGTGTCTTCTGGTTAGGACTGCAACCTATTTCGGTATATCTACAATTGAATTGTTAAAGGAATACTTAATAATCCCGCAGTGACTGAACCACTGTCTGTGTACCGGCATAGCTACGGGTTGAGTAAATACTTAGCCTTCCTATTACTACTTTACTATCCGAACACGAGGTGAACAAAGGATAAGCTTCAATGAATCTGGGTGAACATGAGTGAACATGGAATGGAGTCTTGAACTTCTTCTAAAGAACAACAACACGTGCTAAAACATTACTTGGAATACAGCATGAATAGCATAAAGAATACTCAAAGTCAAGCATGTTCGTAAGCAAATCTACTAATGGCTTGAACTGTAGTAATTCTACTTCCTTGTCATGTCTTACAGGCTCACGGGTTATAGCCACTGACTCACCTCACGGTCTGTGGCACGGAATAATTCAGCTTCAACACTATTCGCACCATGAGAACTTTCTATATAGCATAAGTAACGAAACTGAGACACTGAAAGTTCAGAGCTGCTAGGCGCAATGAATAATTAGAAGAGGGGAGAGGATTTTGAGCTTTCTTGGCCTCAAGATAATATTAAAAAGTAAAGAAGAAATTAGGTAAGCTATAATGAAACCGAGTTCAATGTGATGATATTTGACAAGATTTAATAAGATTAAGTGAGCTGCGATGGGATTTGACGGGTTATGATGCTAGTTTGCGCCTGTTGCTCGCATGCGCTGCCATCATGACTGAAAACAACATCAACAAAACCACTCACTTTCAATGCACGCGTACTCCAAGTACAGAGGCCATGAGCCTAACATGTCTTTCTCCTGATACACCACCAGAGGATCCTCTTTCGCAGCCTGTTAAGCCCCAGCGCAAGTATCCCCCGCTGTACGCCCGCCGCGAGCTAATAAGCATTCATATGCCTTCAAGACTTCACGAAACATTCGGCCTTTCCGTCTCCAACGTTATATTTGACGCTATACGAGGATCGGCTGCAACTATTATGACTTCCTTCCCTTTTTCAGCAAAGTCGTCCAGTAACGATGGCTCAGAGCCCCGAATGCTAACGCTTAAGCCGTATTCACTTTGATGATACTGTCAAACATCGTGATCGAAGTTCACCGGCTCATCTACACAAGGCAAGATCGATGATCTATAGGGATCATGGTATTATCTGTCTATGTTAAGGCAAACCATGGAGAGAAGTTGGCTGGATGGAATAGAAACTGGTTGAGCCTTGGTATAATCTCTGAAATATTGGCAAATTATCAAATGATCTACATATACACAAACGAACTTCTGGTTGGGATTATTCTATGGACTTTGGTACAGAACATTCAATTCTTTTTCACTCTTCTCAAAAGCTCAACTAAGCTAGTATAGTTATGCAGGAAACACGCTGTGAACCTCCAACTTCATGAGTGCTCAGCCTACGGTTTCCTACCAATATCGTCCAACTTCATACAGTCCATACATCGTGTGCTCCCCGCATACCTGGCAGGAAGCGTCCCTCTCTTCTCTAATCTTCTGTGAACACTGCCTTCCTTTTCTCTTGGCTCTTTCACATTCCTCCCTTCCCATACCCTCGAATGTGAGTACATCTCGAACGTTGGGATCTTTCTCGCAGGCACCGCAAAGGGTGCGACGATACACGTCCTTGCACATGATTGAAGCTGATACTTGGTGTTCTTGAAGACTTGAAGGTTAGATGAAAAGCTCGGGAGTGAGTTGAGCTGGTTGGAGAGCGGGAGCGGGACTATATATAATAATTTTGGTCGGGCTTCTGATGTGACCGATGTGAACAGGTGCAGATATGGGTAGTGAATAGGCTAAACAAAGTAATCATTCAAACTTCACACGACAATGACTCAAAGTCAAACTCGCTGTTCATGTTGGACAGTGACTTTTTCTACATAGGCACTCTGAGTAATGGTTCTGTCATCCACGCGAACTCTCAGTGAAGCAGAAGTGCAGCGAGCTCTTATGGACTAACGTTCAACTGATAGACTTGACAGATGGTGTTTACATCATACGCCTTACTTGGACCAACGTTCACGGCAGTCTCGCGCGTATCCTCGCTGCTTCACTTCAGTGGGCTCATCAATCTTATAGCTTACCGAACACATCAAAAGTCACACTGGTTTTGATTCACAGGTGCATGGCGTGCAATGGAGGCCTCGTAGAGGCTTGGCATTTACCGACGAAGAATATATTTATTTGCTTCACTTGCGATTGACATATAGAAGCATTTTGTCCTACTTCTTGCCAAACACCTTCTTGACCTTATCCGCGAAGGAACCAGTCTCTTTCTTGGCGACTTCTTGTCGGGTCTTTGGTTGATAGTCATATGGCTCCGTGTAGCACGTGCCACGAGCTGTATTGGCATGGCATGCTGGACACAGCCATGGCTTGTTGAGCACAATCGGCGTCTCCCCCGGACAGGCCTTGCCCTCCTTGACGGCTTCGCATAGGTCTGTGTCAGTAAGCGCGTGATCCTCGGCCTCGCAGTTGCTGCAGGTCCTTGGGGCAGATTTGACGATACACATGGTGGATATTGTTGTAATAATAGCTTTTGGTGTTATTAATTGGTAATTGGAAGAATCGAGAGTAGAAGTTGTTGCAGCAGGTTTAAGTACTGCCCTCTTTGTCATTCTCATGCGTGATGGGGCGTCGCTTGAACAGCGCAGGTTCTGAACAAGGAACCAAGAGACAAAGCGGCATAGTGAGTCTATGTTACCACCTAGCGGAGAGTGAAAGGCCAACAAAGAACTTCAGGTATTGGGCAACAAGGCACGACCAGTGAACAATGCCAGGCAGTGACAGGGCGAAAACGCCGGGCCTACAAGCAGCTAAGATACACAAGATGCTCGTCCATGCGCCAATCGCTGATGTGATCCAAGGCTTGAGTCGAAGTCATCGTCAATTGATGATGAGACTAAAGACAATATGGTCTACGAATGGAACTTCAGAGTACGTTACGGGATGTGGCCATGATGATGGACCGCTATATCCACAGGAGCTTTAAGCTAGTATATCGCGGTGAGTATTGGGCTACATTTAATCTTCCTTGAACAAAAATAGAAATAAGCCACGGAGTAAGATGGCAGATCTCAGAGTGAGACAAGGGGCACAATCACATCACGATGCCGAGACTGCGATACGAATTATCGGGTCTCAGACCATCTTCCTCACTCCCGAGGACAAGCCTCAGAAAGCAATGAAAAGAATAAAAGAAAACACGCCTGTCAGACGTCCATCAACACCCACCCCAGCCACGCGCCCGAAGGCAAGACCACAGCTGGGGTCGAGATCATCAAGCAAACCATCTCTATACAGCAGCTGCACGAGGCAACCACCGCCATCCTTGCGGACAGAGCGAGAGGACCAAAAGGTATTCACTCTAGGGTGTCGAGGATATACATTCATCAACCAGGGTGGGATCTGTGGCTCTTTTAGGGAACCAAGAGAAGGTCGAATACTATAGAAATGATTCTCCTGGAGACGTTGTTAGTGTCCGTTTGGTGGAAGGGCGAGTGATAGTAGGTGGGGGGGACGTACTGAAGTATTGTCGACATGAAGAAGAAAAGAAAAAAATCCCAAAGGTCTGAGCAGGATCGGCTTTTTATAGAGAGGTACAGTGGGGCTAGGGGACTGGCGCCTGAGGCAGATTGAAAACTCTGATTTTGGCCCAGCCACTTTTTTTGTCAGCCTCATTTCGCTACTGGAGAAAAGTGACCGGGTTCAGTGGGTATTGCGACCACTTGAGCAAATGGCACCACGATTGAAGGAGAAATCTGCAAAGAAATGAGGCTGCCAATTAGTGGGTAATTCTATTGCTACAGAAACACTGCAAAGGGTCGAGGAGAACAGAGATTTCACTCAGCGATGAATGTCTGCGAAAGATGATTGCTGAAAGCTCGTCAGAGGGGCTGGGGCGCTAGTGCGGTTTAAGATAGCGGTCGTGGACAATATCGCTGAGCATCACGTCTATCACCAACCCTGTAGGGTAGATATTCATTTACTGGCAGATGCGTATTGCGTTAATAAAGGGTCGACGAGGAGAGAAAGCAAATAAAATCTTCCCAGCTGAAATATCGTTGAATTGAATTAATGTTTAAATAATTGACTGCACTCAATGCAGGTTTCTGCTTAACTCGTTGCATTGGAATCTGACTTAGAATTGCGGATGAAGTCGACGAAACTAAGCTACACTGGGCATCACGGCGTCACGCAAAACAAATGCGCACCAAACAGTAACCGGAAGTTACAGAGAATTAGAGTCACTTTAGCCGAAAAGGTTAGATATTATAAGACAAGAAATACATTTCATCTTTCAATAGGAATCACAGACTATGAGTGTCCATGTCAATGTTCAAGCTGCCAATTTGACTGAGACCGCACATTAGCAGACTGACCCACTGAATCGCGCTTGAGAGCCCACCAAATCTGTGTTGTTATAGCGCGTAAGCCCGCTGTAGTCTAGCACATACGACCAAAGGTAGTGGAAAATACGGGATCCCGTCCGCTCTCCCATAGTCAAGCCACTAACCGGCGGATTAGTAGTTGGGTCGGTGACGACCAGCGAATCCCCGCTGTTGTATGTATCTTTTGCCATTTTTGCCCTTGAGAATTGCTTGCATTGTTGCGTTCAATCTTCGTTTTGGTGGTCGCGAAACTTGGTTGTTGGTTGCTGACCTCGACCCCTGTCGATGTGCGCTCACCCTGGAAGTAGTATAGCTATTTTTAAATACTGACTATTAACTAACCACAATCCCTATCAAGTCCACGAGATTAAACACCTAAACAGAATGCATTAAATAGACATTCCCACCTGGGCTATATATCTAACGCACACGCAACTCAGTCCTACCATTATCAACACTACTTGCCAAAGCATATGCCTCTTTGTCTCTGCCCGCTGACTTCGCCAATACCTCGACCTGTCTATCTTTCATGCCTTCGCTGCCAGCTGCTCGAATTATGTCCTGCGTCTCGGAAGATACCAGCTGCGAAACTGCCTGCCAAGCGTTACCCAAGAGGGAAGATTCAGTGCGCTTTGCGAAGAGTACCAAGGTGAGAGCCGTCAGTACAAAGTGCATACCAATGATGGCTATGGTAACAATGAGACCAGTCCATTGCTGCGGAACGACGCGATTCTGGGCGTTGATCGTTGTGACCTCGTGTGTAGGTTCAAAGACAGGGAGCCAGTCATAGTACAACATTTGATAAACGCGGAACATAATTGCTTGCAAGGCTTGGGCTGGGTTCCTTGTCTCATGGAAGATTCTCTGGAACATAGCTGCATGCTCTGGGTGTGTCGCCCAAATGACCGTAGTGGTAATGTCATTATACGTATCATCAAATTCGCCTGCAAGGCTCCAGCCACCGAGAGTGGAGTATTCAACCAGTGTGACCCAAAGCTCGAAGTACGCAGACTGTATGGATGCTTTTCCATCCAGCTCCATCCAAAGGCCTGGCCCTGAGTGGACTTCGAGATCCAAGGTACCGCGACCCGTCGAATTGTCCGGAGAGATGCCAACGCCAAGTTGTCTGAGAACACCTGTCTCGTTCCTTAGAAGGGTAAGGCTTGACAATTCTGTCAAAAACCTAGGCTCCGAAGAGATAGCTTTCCCCGTCATAGTGACATTGAACTTATGAGGTAGGTTCTGGCTGACGTAGCACACGGTGGTGTTTAACACTTCAGCCCCATCAGCTGTGTAAGCCAATGTCCAAGGCCCGTCTGTCCGATATGTCAGGTTGTCCAACTGCTTTTGAAGGTCAGGGGGGATCGCAGCACCCATGCCTGTCTCGGCACGCCCATTCAGCACTTCGCCAGAGGTCACAAGGGTAACATGTCTGAAGCCATACGACCAACCAGATAGCGGATTCATCGTGACATTTTTCGAGGACACCTCCACCATCGCAAACTCATTGCATAGAGCCGTTGGCGATTGCACGGCTGTTTGTGTGCTATTCCACAGGTTGTGTAATCTGCAGTATATCTGTACAGGTTTGCTCAGTTCTTTGCCAAGGAAGTCAGTCTGGTTCTCGACTACAAATGTTGCATTGAGATATAAACCACTGACCCCTTTCCTCTCACCCGCGTCCCATTGAATTGAAGCATTGATGAAGGTTGGTGGGAAACAAGCAGTTCGCTGGTTGATAACGACAGAAGGACCGTGATAATACTCGAGAGTGGTTCTGTCTGATGCTTTATCATATGGAAGTATGGCCCGGTAGATATCTCCTGTATCCGCAGCGTTGTCTGTGCGAAGTGGTGTCTTCATCTCAGCAGGACGATGCTCAGCAAACCGCCAATGAGCTAGAGGTCTAGATCTCCAATAAGCGATACTGCTATAAGGAGAGCTATCTGCGGTGTCAAAACCAATAGCTTTGATAGAGGTTGTAATAGGAGCCGAGATCTGGCCTTCATCGAGGTCGAAGAGAAGTATAGTCGAAGTGAGAATTGAGATCAACGCGATAGCGACCGTTAAGGCAAGGACAGGGAGATAAAGAAATCCGGAGATGCGCCCTGCAAGACAGTGTCGCCAAGCTGTAGGAAGAAGATCCAACGGGCCGGCGCTGGAGCTCGACGCTCTCTGGATAGATAGCATCGCCGTATCGCAGAAACGACTACCTGAGGTCTCGAGGATAACAGCTGCCATTGCTGCAGCAGCAAGACCAATCTGAAAACCTATCGACACTCGAATGCCAGCAGAACAGATAGTAACAAGCTGTGTTGTCCAGCCACCAAAAACGATGTCGTCCCAAAATTGAGCCCGATGATGGCCGCTCCTTGCTCTTTCGGCGCCGTCCCAGAGAAAGACAAGGAGTGCGGTACAAAAGAGAATGGCACCCGTACCAACGGTAAGGATAAGTATTCCAGGGCGGCCGATTCTTTGCCACCATCTTCGGTCGCGCTGTTGCTGCGGCGGAACAAAAAATGTTGTTGCAGATCGCATAGGGGTCTCGACGATGTTGAAGCTGGGCTGAGCTGACTTCTCTTTCAGATCGGGTCGACCCAAGTCTTTCATGCCCGTATTGTAGCCATCGTATCTAGCAGAGGTTTCTGTAGGGTTGCTTGCAGCGTGTATCATGTCATGCGGTTGTGGTGTCAGCATATCGACTTTGCGAAACTCGGCCATGAGGACAGCCTTGAGTTTGATAGAAAAGGAACAGGAAAGAGTGAGTGAAAAGTGTGCAAGAGACAGAAAGAGAGACAGAAGATGGAAGATGGGGTGTTTGCTGTTGAACGAGCATGTGCACTTCTCTTTAAACCTCGACCTGCATGCAATAATCCCACAGACCTTATGCTTGAATCAGCAGTGGCCAAGTGGTCAGGCAATTCAGGATCAACACATTGCCTCGCTCCTATTGATAACCAGGGTGTAAGCTCTCAGTGGATGTCCCAGTACCAGATACAGGATAGAGCTTACGCTCACCCCGTTGTAGCTGCGCGTATCCAATAATTTCCAGACACGATATTTGATTGGCGGGCTCGGACTCAGGCTCGGACTTGAGAAATAAACTACCCCCCTGTCAGTCTCTTTACGCTTAAATGACTTTTGAGCTTCAGCTCAGACAATCTAGGCAATCTTAAAAAACAGTTGCGGTCTGGATTCACTCCGCGATTTGTGCCCCTTCGATCAATCCCGGTCATAGAATCATCACATCTCCTCTTAACAAGGTGGGCTCGAAAATTTTAAATGTTACTGTCATAGGCCCCTTCGGACTCTGACACACAAGCAAAAGCCACGATTGCAAAATGGCACGAAAAGGCTCTAAGAAGGTCAGGACAGGGTGCATCACCTGCAAGTAGGTATCTCCCAGAACGCACAGTTGCATGCTCTAACTTGGCAACGCTTAGGGTCCGCAAGATCAAATGCGACGAAACGAAACCCTCTTGCCAACGTTGCACAAGCACTGGCCGCATTTGCGACGGTTATTCACCTTGGGGTCAGGCCACTCCGGCGACTCATCTGACTGTGATCTATAAGCGCTCGGGGACGACGACGGAAGAACAGAGGGGACTACAGTACTTTTGCGAAGTAGCCGCCCCATGCCTACTGGGCCCAAAAAACCCCTATTTCTGGACGCACCTGGTGATGCAGCTCAGTGAGTCGGAGCCGGTAGTGAAGCATTCACTGCTGGCGATCAGCTCTCTCTACGAGAATAGGGAGGTCCAAAGGATATCGCCAGCTCCGCCCAACCTTGCATTGCGGCATTATAACGCCGCAATCCGAGAGCTCAAAACCACGCAGAGCGATGTCTTGGCACTGGTAGGGTGTGTTTCGTTCACCTGCATAGAACTTCTGCGATCGAACTACAGAATAGCTATATGGCATTGTACCAACGGTCTCGCCATCCTGGAACATTGCAACAGCCTATGGGCTCGGGAGCACCTGGATCCCATATTCCGACGGATCAGAATCTTGCCTCTGCTCTTTAGCAGTGATTCTACAGAACCTAGTCGCCCTATGGTCTTGGGGTTTGTGACACCATCAAAGTTTAACAGTCTGGATGATGCGCAGCTGATGACGAACGAAATCATCAACCGATTAAAGCGGCTTTGTTCTCTGAAGAAACAAGGGTTGCAATTCGACCAGGACATGGAACTGGAGTACATCAAGTCATTGCTGGAAAGATGGCAGTTCTTGATAAAGGGCATTCATGTCCATGCAGCGCTGCAAGTAGATAGTGCTTACAACGCGCAATACGCCTCAGCATTGATGGACTTCCAATTATGCCAAGCTTGTTTCAACTTTTTATTCTACAGCAGCATGGGAGACGACAAAAGCGCAAAGGCCTCTTGTGATATGGTCAAATCGGCTCTATCTTTTGGTGAGCTGCACACGCTGCAATCCACATGGTTTCTCTCCGAATTAGGCCTCGCCCGTCCTGTAAACCGCAGCGACGGGATGCAGCTGTCTGGAACAACGATTAACGGTGCTTCTACCGCTGACTACACCGGGTATTACGGCAGAGGTGATTCTAGGCACCCAGCTTATGCATACTACGGCTTGGAGGCCGCGTCTGAGTTGAGGTAGTCGCCATGTTCGAAATTTGTTGCTACTTCTTGCGAATTACTGTCATCAACATCTATGGGCCTACAGTTATTAAAGGCTAGGGCTAGACTCCAATAACGAGTTAGGCAGCCAATCTCCGCTGTTCTCTGACAGATGTTTCTCTTGGAATCTTCAAGAGGAGTTCTATAGGAATCAGAGTTCAGGCTTGCTGTCATATCAATGACAATACGTTCCATCTTTGCAGCAAAAGTACTACCATTAAAGTATAGACACTAAGGAGCCCAATTGAATTCCTTGTATCGGTTGACCTGTTCTATCTATTTGAGGTCGACTTACAGTACTGTAGTGGATATACATACACATATAGTAGGGATGTAGGATAAGAGGAGAGTAGTGAGTGAGTGATATATATGTAGATATAGTGATATAGCCCGCTAGGTGCCGAACTACCTTGGGATACTTGAGTTTGTATAGGAATGTCCATCGTGTGTAAGGGGGCTATAGTGCAGCTTGTTTCCGGGTAGGCCATTCTTGCCAGCCCACTCCATACCGATACTACTTCTGCCGTCGCTGTTGAGTGGCCCCTACCAGAGCTTTTAGTGCCCGAAGATCATTCTCATCTGCAAATTTAGGGAGATTAGGCGGTATCTCTGGATCCTCTTCGTCGAAGTCGGGGTACCATCCGAATTGTTGCAAAGGGACGAAATGGTTTGGGAGTAAACCCATATCGAAAGCCATGTAGCGTGATTCCCAACCATCATTGCCACCTTTAGGGTCCAGCATGCGGAAGAATTCTTCCACATTGGTCTCCCAACTGAGGCTGAACTCAGTGAGTCCCGAAAGGTCCTCACGAATGCTGTCAAAGATGTTTGCCCACCTCTTGTGAAAAATAAAGGACTCGCCTTCGCCAAAGAAGGACTCGCCGCTTTTTTTCTGCCAGGCTTCAGTATTTATACCTAATTGTTCCTTAGAACCCAATGGAATCCACATATGGGTGATTATATGACAGCTATTAAGTCGCAAGCATTTGAGTGTCTTTTGTTTAAGGACCCAGTCAAACAGCGTATTGTGGCCGATAACATAATTACTTAAGGATAACGTCTTGAGCTGCGGAAAATCCAGATTCGAGCCATCAAATACCCCCAGCGTGAGACCCCATTCGCGATGGGCGTTGAGAGTTAGTTCAACCAGCTGGGCGGCGATAGGAGGCAGAAGCGAGTATTGCAAGTATGACTCAAATTCAGTTCGCTCTTTCAATTCCACGGTCATCGTGTTTCCTGGGTCGATTTCGGCGTGCTCGTGGCAAATAAGAATATGCAATTGCTCGATGCCTTTGAAAAGACCATCGGTGAGTTCGGAGGGAAGAGAACTATTCGGAAGGTTTTCGAGCTTCAGCTCCCGGATGGCAGATATGCCAGATCTGGCATGATGAGATTGGCGTGTTTCGTGTCCCCGCAGAGCCTTGAGGACACTCCTCAGAGTAGCCTCGCGTGCCTCTCGCGCCTTGTAGTCAAGATTAGAGTCTCTGATATCCATCCAGTCGGGGCACGACTTCGGGAAGCGCACCTCAACTGATTGCAGATGGTCGAGCTCAGAAATTCCGTTGATAGAGGAAGTGAATGCAAGCCATTCGCCTTCCTCACTCCAAAACTTCCACTTCTTGTGGTTATCGGTTGAATATGTTTGAATCACAACGCGTTGGGCGGCGCCCCTAATAGCTTTCGAAGCCACTAACTTGTTCCAAGACTCGAAGTTTCTGCCTGCCGCGTCGACGCTGTAGCAGAGCGTGACGGTTTTGAATAAGCGTTTTGTTATAAGCCGGTTCCACGTGCGGCAAACAAGACGAGTCCGGTGCATGTCCAGAACGTAGATGCCTGTCTGTGGGGTTATATTGGCATTATGAAAGTGAGCCCGCGTGTCCTGACTGTATCCCTTTGACAGCTGGTGGATTATAAGATCCAAAATCTCTTCCGGAAGATCTTTTATCTCCATAGGGCATGGAAGAGTATTCCTAGTTATATAAGGAGAAAATTTTCATGTGATTCTGAATGCCGGTGTGAGTTACTTGGGTTCTAGAGTAAGACAATAACAGAGGGAAGAAAACGCCTAGGCGTTCTTATAAGTAGTAATGAGAAAACCCAAGTGCCACGTCATTAGGTGAACGGCCGCGCTGACAAACCGACAGGGTTTATTACGCCTGGAAACACGAATCTTACAGGGCCATCAGTCACAATAAACTGTTTACCCTTCGGTAGGCCTGCTTGAAAACCAATTTCTTCTCCAAGTGTTTGAGCTGAAACATGGTCTGTCAACTCTAGGCTGTTTGAGTATTATTAAGCATCTATAGAATTGATATTTGTGTGTTTCAGATGCCCCTTTAGCCCAGTCTTTTGGTCGCCATTACAAATCTGACTGCTCTCGCACTGCCTCTAGGTTAGGTGTCCATTTAGGCCGACTTTTCGCCTAGAAAGAAAGATTTCCTGCAGCTTGTGGCATAACTTCGCGTTCTGTCCCCTATCTTGCATATCAGAATAGAAAATATTTTATCTTCTTGGGCGTGTATCTGCATTTATACATGTCCGACTCGGCCGTACCTATCTTGCTTAGGTGGCCATTGATCCTCGCCATGCCTTTACGAAGTTACGCGAACATATCGGCCTCCTGTCTCACTAGGCAGTCATACATGACTTTTGTGTGTTTACTTGGTAGTGCTTGATCAATGCGCTGATTGCATACGCCTACTTTATCGAGCAGCTTCTGCTGCTGGCTCAGTCGCGCTGCCCTTAGTCTGATCTAAGTGGAGTGAGCCTGAAATGATATTGCTTGCGTCGTGCATTCTGCTCTCGTGGCTCTGGCATTGGGTAAGTTCTTGTTTTGAAAGTCGATTTTAATTGAAAATAAGGATTCATCCATGTCTCAAATTTTGTTGGCTGCTTGTACAGTGACGCAGGAACGCGTTCAGTGGGCCTACGTCACTTCGTGTTCATCTCGCGCGTCCAGGACTCATCCTTATCGATAAGAGCTCGTTAGCGAAGATCATCGCGGTTAGCATCTACATCAAACTACGTCTAAGATACCAGCAAAAGTTATGTATACACTAGCAGCCATAAACTGGACAGGTGGAGAAAACCTCGAGACATGTTTCAACCCCGCACCCACAATTCTCTGAACCATTCCCATTTTACCTCCGCTAGCATCAAACGAGCCAAAGTCCACCGATCCGTTTTAAACTGAGCCTATCTAGGGATAGCTACCATCGAGCAACCATGATAGACCTGGACGAAGCTATGTCTATAACCTGGGTTGACGGCGACGAGGATAATAACGAAGCGATGCGGAGCGTGGGCTTCTATGAGCACGCAGAAGCACCACGTGCATTTCCGTCCTTGGAATTATACACGACCCAAGAAGTAGATACACGCTGCATGATCTGCGGCGTGAGCTTTCACATCAGCCGTCACAGAACAAATGGAGAACACCCCTCCGCAGCATGGAGCAGCCATGCAGGAGATGACATCGGGGCATATCCCGGAAGCCAGAACTGTGTCCAGCCAGACTGCACTTCCATCCCAAGAAGCGGCTCAGGACCTGGGACAAGTTTGCTCTCCCCCAGAAATCTCGGCTCTAGCCGCTCTGAGCATATTTCTGGGCCGAACTGCAGATCGACCAGTGCATACCACGGAGGCCGCATCTCAGTCGAGGCGATGAGAGAGTGCAACACATATCAATGCCTCCTACTCCGCGACGAATCATGGGAGCCAGAGGATGGCGAACTTGAAGATTTTGAGAGACAAGGCAGCCATGTACTCAGCGGCCTGGCGGATGCTGTGAAGTGTAATCGCAGGGGATACTATGCACCGCAATTCTTCCCAGAGCGCAACAAGGTCCGCTACACAGTGACGACCTTTCTCAGTGATGGAGTTCCGGCGATGCCATTCCATCCGACATGCTTTGAGGTATTCAAGCGAGCGTCGATATATCGATATGGTTTTGTGAATGTAAAGGCTCTAGTGAGTTGGGCACAGGAAAGAGCGGCGCCATCGATGCGGCTACCAGAACATGCCGCTGTGAAGAGAGCAAGGCAGATGCAATGGATGCATCACGCCGGGGACGAGTTTCTGGCCGCGAATCCGTGCTTCATCCCCGGGTTGCAGGACATTATCGATTCCGTGCAGAATATCTATAGTCCAGATGATATTTGCTCAGATGCGGCACCGCCCGCCCTAAACTCTACAGACATGTTCTCCAAGTTTCCGCAGGAGATCAAGCTCGAGATCCTACTACAGCTAGATTCCTGGGACATCGCCAACCTACGCCTATCATCACGAGCATTCCGGCACCTCCCGCAATCGCTCTTCTACCAGCTGACCCTCCGCGAACTCCCCTGGCTGTACGAAGCATGGACGCCCCTCCCGCTCTCATTCTTCGTCACGACAACTGCAGTTGAACAGCGAAGAATCGGACAGAGACTGGATGAAATTAATCACAAAATCTCAGTTCGTCGTCAAGACGATGATGGATCGGAAGAGAGTGCAGCAAAGATCAAGAGCTTGGTTAATAAGGCGGCTAAGCTTGAAGAGAGGCGGAAGCAGAGCTACAAGACTACGCCGGTTAGGTTGTTGGACCGGAGGAGCACTAATTGGACGCAATTGCGGGGGGAGTTGGCCCGACGGTGGGGAGAACTGCCGGGGCTGAGGAACAGAAGGAGGATTTGGAACAGTTGCCAGGAAATCATGGACCGTGCAGAAACGATTCCTACTGAGGAACGAGACGATGACCGGGGTCTTGGTCAATGGATTGCTTACCAGTTTTGAACAGCTTATCGCGGTAATTACCATAGCGTCACTCAATAAACAAGTTTGCTCCCCCAAGCCTCACAGCACGGTCCATACTGCATGCCATTCCTTTATTCTCTTTATCAGAAAAAGCAAACAATTTGCACTGAAATGAGTCATCAGCAGCCTGCCTCACGAGGCTGTTGTGCTGTGCTTTTCGTTCACACCACTTTGTCGTCTTTTCAATTGCGATAAGCAAACGCAACAAAGAAAGCCTCATTTTAACGGGCGGCACATTGCAACGGCTAACGCTGGCCCCAAGTGGGACTTCAAACCTGGGGTAAAATATCCACTACCTTACTCTACGGCCCCCGGCCGTTATGACGTGTACCAAAAAACCCAATTCCTCCCAAATTCCAGTCCTTCCCTTTGAGCAAACACACCGAAAACACCAAAAGGAACAAAAAGAAGGCTCGTGGAACAAATCTCACCGACATGAGACTAAACTCCATCAAGAAGGTGTCCAAATCCTAAAAAGAAAGCCTAATCTTTACGCTGGCAGGCCTGAGAGATAACGACGACTGCGTTTTTCTCAGCTTGGGCCAATTGAACCCTTATCTTGGTGGTCACTTGATCAGCGTCGCAGTGTCTCGTGTTGATTCGCCCAACAAAGCCCAGTCTTTGGTGTGTGTGGGCGTGATGACTGCGCGACTTTTCCCCCCCCATTGAGCCAATGCTTGGGTGATGCAGACAAGGGTTGAAAATAAGGCAGCCATTTTATCGACAGCCAAGCTGACGGGGCGTATTTTCTCGCTGTAATTTATCAGTGGCTGTCGCCCTTTTTCAGCTTTGGTGTTGGGGGAGGGTTGCACAGAGTGTCGGCTTGGCCTGTCAACGTTGTGGCAATGCTAATTGCTTGGCCCCTACCAGCACCGACACCCTATCACCCAGCCCAGCACCAGCACCAGCGCAGTCTAATCTAAGGCAAATCCTACCGCTCGTATCTTCGGCATAAAGGCTCCCTACGTCGCCCCTCTTTTTTTCCCCCATTCTCTCGTCTTCCCCCCCGCCAAAAGCTCTCTCTCATCTCTCTTCGTTTCTCGCTTTACGCAATTCAATGACTCCCAACAGCGTGTCTTCGCTGCTGTCGCTTCAATCATGACGGGCCGGGTTCCCAATGTCTGGGCCGCCATCATCATCCCCGTGCCCGCGAGTGCGCTCGCGCTGGTTCTGAGGATCAAGGCGCGGCGCATGACTAAGATGGGCGTTGGTTATGACGATGCCTTGTCAATCGCAGCTTGGGTACGCCCTCACCCTAAGTTAAGACGTGATTAATAAATGCTTATTCTCGTGTAGTTTGTGGCTCTTGGTTATGCAATTCTTCTCATCGTGTGTGAGTGATGCCCTTTTATTCCATCTCATCATTTTAATTAACGTACCAAGGGACTACATGTTACTACATGGGTCGCAAAATCGGCCACTTCCCTGAAGACAAGATCGATCACATCCTCGAGAAATCTCACGAGATTCTCTTCGCCAGCGAGATCCTGTACTCATGGTCAATCTTCCTCAGCAAAATGTCTGTGCTCACTTTTTACCGTCGCATCTTCCAGTTCTCATCCATACGCGTACCCATCATTATCTTGATGGTGTGCTGTGGATGCTGGATCACCATCCGGACCTTCATGACCATCTTTCACTGCATGCCTGTGCAGGCGTACTGGGATAAGTCGATTGATGGGAAGTGTATGAATAATATTGGGCAGTATTATCTCGGGACTGATTTGACGCATTGTTTGATGGATTTTATCATCCTGGCTTTGCCGTTGTTTGAGGTTGTGAGGATGAAGTTGATACTGGGGCAAAAGATTGCTGTCATTGGTATTTTCAGTCTTGGTTCATTGTAAGTTCACTCCTTCATGAGTCTATCAATCGCTTACACTGTCAGGGTCGGTATTGCTTCCATCTTTCAGATCGTCGAGGCCCAAAAATACACCTCCAACTCACGAGAATTCCCCTACGACTTCTCCCTCGCCATGGTCTGGGCCAACGTCGAAGTCCACCTCGCCGTCTTCACCAGTAAGCCTCCCCCCAGCTCTCCCTTTAACCATCACTAACAACTCCAGGCTGTCTCGCTCTTCTCCGCCCCATCTTCCGCAAATTCATCCCAGGCTTATCCTCTGGCAACACCACCTATCCCGCCAACGGCCTCAGCCA